GGACAGTGCGCTGGCGTGGCAGCGCGCCGCGTCCGCCTGCGCCGCGACCAGCGCGAGGGGGCGCCGCGCCCCCGCCCCCGCCCCCACACCCGCCCCCGCCCCCACGCAGCGCGCCCCCTGCGCCGCCGCCCGCGCCTCCCTCCCGCCCCCGCCCACCTCCGCCGTCCAGCGCCGCAACCACGCGCCCACCCATGACACTGCGCACCCGCAACGGAGCGGGTTTCCCGAGACAATGAGCCCTCCTGTGCACCACGTTATATACATTACAACTAAGTTGATACATTATAGTTATTTTCAATGCAGTTGCTCATAAAGCGCTATTTTAATCCATTGTAAACACCCAAAGTGAGTCTTTAAACACGTGTTAAATAAAAATGTACTGAAATACTTTACTGCACACGTGCTTAAAAGTATTTTTTAAATAAAAAAAAAAATGATGAAAATATGTCAAACTTTAGAGGCAAAAGTACCTATTTCAAGGAGTTTAGAACGAATATTTTCAAATAAAAATGTATGACACGAAAACATGTTCAAATATCACGTTTAATTTTAACAAATAATTTTTACCTTTAATACAGACTTAGTTTTATTAACATATTTATTTGTTTTATTTCCTCCCAAAAAGCATTGAAAAATGTTGTAAGAAACTTGAGTGTAAAAGGTTTTTCGAATTCGTGCCATTTTTATTTAACACGTGTTTAAAGACTCACTTTCGGTGGTTACAATAGATTAAAAAAATAGCGCTTTATGAGCACCTGCATTGAAAAATATATGAGCTTACCATAAACGGAAAGTTATGTGCACGAATGACGACAGGGTATTTGACACTATTAAGTTGTGTATTGTAGTCATCCTGTTAGATAACAATCTAATAAAGTTTATTTCTTAGAATCTGACGTGACGGCACACAGATACCACGTGATCAACGCCGTTACATAAGGCAGCGTTTTTTGCGTGATTTTGACTATTGAAACTTTAATAATTATTTTCATAGAAAATAGCACAGATTCTCATGAAATATATCGACAGTGTGTTTATAATGTACCAAACAACCATTTGAAACTGTTTTCAAATAGCGCCAAATACCCTATTTGAGTTTTTGATGATATGGAAATTATAATTCCTAATAAAAACAGTAAGTTGTCTTTAAAATAATAAAACAATTATTATAGCGCTCCATATACGTATTTTGGACGGAGATAAAAGATTTTTTGTTCCAAAAACAAAAGATACATATTTGTCTTTTTATTTTACTAAAATATATTTCAAAAATAAAATAATGACCGGATTAGATTGTTCAGCAACACACTTAAACATTAGAAATATTCAAAAATACCGTTTAATCTAAGAAAGTCTCCGTTTCTTGTCTTTGTTCTTCCAAATTTAGGCTATGCATTATCAGTTACAGACATATGTCTTTAGAATGGTCCATTATTGAAGATTACAGGAAAAATGTGTGCAAATTGTTTATTGTTCTACGAGTAGGAAAAAAATGGACGATTCAGAAGTGTTTAAGATAAGCTTATTTGCTTAGAATAAAAAATACAAACAGTTTCATTTTTACACCTTTACGGACGAAAACTTACTCTGAAGGTATACAAAAATTACCGGAGAGAAGTTTGGTGGCGAATCGATTCCAGTCAGTCAGATTCGGGTAGAGTGTAGCGGGCGCGAGCGCGACCAGCCGGTTGTCGCTGAGGTCGAGCGCCAGGTTCGGCACCCGCGCCAGCGGCCGCACTAGTCCCGAGGGAAGGTCGCGCACTCCTGTCCCGCGAACCCGAAGCGTAAAAGCGCGCTGTCGCCCAAACGCCACAAACGCGCGGGCCGACACACGTTCCAATAATGTTCCCTGCACCTCCAGTATTCGAAGCTTCGCCATTCGTACACCATGAAGTTGTGTATCGAGCGCGCTCGAGCGTATTAGCAACGTTAAATATTCTAATCCGTGCATTTCTTCTACTATCTCCGCTATGTGAATGTCTCCGACTGGTAATTCCAATGTCAGAGAGCGCAGTGATTGTAGTGATCGGAAAGTTCTCGGATCTACCGTTTCTAGTTGCCATAAATAGACCAGGCGCAGATATAACAGTCTTTCGAGTCCATCGAACGAACTGCTCGAGATGCGAACCAACGGATTGAAAGAAACGTCGAGCTTAGTCAACTTAGTGAACACGACCCACATCGATGGTTGTAAAGAAGAAATTTTATTAGAGGCTATATCAAGGTTGCGCAAGTTGATTAAACGCTTAACATCTGTATCTCGGTAAGAAGATATATGGTTACCGCTGAGATCGAGCTGCGTGAGATTCGGCAGCGGCAGCTGTGGGACTGTCTTTAAACCGGTGTTGGCGAGCACCAACCGGCGGAGTCTCGGCAAATTATGGAAAAGTTCTTTAAAGTTAGTTTTTATTGCATTATGTGATAGATCTAAAAAGGAGAGCCGCGAGATGCTCGCAAATGTATTATCAGACAGAACAGTGAGAGCGTTATGCTTCAAGTTGAGATCATTAAGGAAGGAAGTAGCGTGGAACATAGCAGCGTCGAGGTACTCGATTCGGTTGCGTGATAGATCTAGATGTCGTAGTGTGAACCCCACATGCGCCAGTGCGCTGCTGGGGAACAAAACCAAATGATTATCACCAAGATCGAGATGTTCCAGTATCGTGTTTTTTAGACAATCGCGTGGCAAAGAGCGTAGTTCGTTTGAGGCCAAACGTAGATATCGCAATCGTCTGTTGTTGTAAAATTGGTCTGTGGTTAATTGAGATAATTTGTTGCTGGACAAATCGAGAATCTGGAGAGATGGCACCTCTGCAAAAGCTCGTCTTTTGATTACGGTTATACTATTGTTGTTTATAGTGATTATTTGTAAATTAAGTAATGTACCTAAACTATCTATGTAAACAAGTTTATTATTGGAAAGTAGAACTTGTCTGATGCTTAAACTGATAGCCTCGAAAAAGTTTTTATTTAAACTTTCAAGTAAATTATGAGACAAATCTAAAATATTGATATAAGATGTCGCGCCCCCTACTAGCGTCGTCAGTCTGTTGTAGCTGACGTTGAGCGCGAACGTAACATTCTCGTTTGACACACCGCTAAAGTATTCTGTGGACAACTCTTGTAAATAGTTTTCTTTTAGGTCCAGCACTTCTAATTTCGGAAGAGCATAGAAGGCTCGTTCTGCTATGAACTCCAACATATTTCCAGCCAAATTTAAATAGAATAAGTTTCCTAAATTCGCAAAGTGACGTTCGCTAATATTCTGCATACGATTGTAAGATAAATCTAGATTTTGTAATTCGTTTAGTTCATTTAGAAATTCCGAGTTCACTTTGCTGATATAGTTATAAGAAAGTCTTAATTCTTTAAGTTTATAAGAAATGTTAAAATAATACACTTCACTTGGAAAAATCACAATTTTGTTAAAATCTAAATTAAGATATTCTAATGAGTTAAATTTTTGCAAATCTTTAGTTGTAATGTGATGTATATTGTTGTTGTCTAAGGTTAACCACCTCAAATCTGTCGACATATTTTCCAGTGGAAACTCTCCGTTGAAGAGAGTCGACGAGAGTTCAAGAACACGCAGAACCGTCAGATTGGCGAAGGCATTACAATCCACGTGATAGAGATCGTTAAAGCTGAGTGCAAGTTCCCGTATCGGTAGCATCGCGGGGAACACATCGGCCGCCAGCTGGGTTAACTGGTTTCCACGCAAATTGAGCGTAGTCAAAGCTCCTGCCCATGATTCAAATGTATCCTGCGGTATCACTGTAAGCTGATTGTAACCCAAATCTAGTGACACCAAGGTCGCCGGTGTCAGAGCCCGCAGCCCTGCCGGAAATGACGTCAAATAATTCCCAGTTACAGATAGGGAGTGCAGGTGCGGCGGCAAGTCGTTCATCTCATTTAATTGGTTATATGCTACAGATAAATATCGAAGGCGCACCAGTTCTCGAATACTGTTCGGTATCGAAGTAATCTCATTGTAATCCAAATCGAGTTTTTCTAAGCTCCGCTTTAATAATTGAATAGCCCCGTCTGATACATCAGTCAATCGGTTATGAGATATAGACAGTTTCTCCAATCGAGAGTTTTCAAAATTCAAGAATGGTATCTTCGTGAAGTGATTAAGATCTAAATTAAGCTGTTTTAGTTGAAACTTACTTAGTACATTAAACTCAAACAGATCGTCTAGCTCGTTTTGACTCAAATCTAAAGAATCAATTTTAGAATGTTCACCCCGACACGATCGTTCAACGGAGTGACGAAGAAGGTTGTTCCGTAGGTGTACGTGGCGCAAACGTGACAAGTTTGTGAGTGAACAGGGCCAGTGCGATAGCAGATTATCGGAGAATCGCAACAGCGCCAGGGTGGAGGGCAGCGCTGAGGCATCCAATGCTCGCACACGGTTGCCATCCAGCTCCAACTGTACCAAGCGGCGCAACGACGAAAGCGCGCCTGGTTTCAATACGCTTACTTGGTTATTACTCAGAGACAAACTGCTCAAGGATTCCGTCAAATAGCCCCAGTCCAATTGCGGATCGACTTCAATTATGAAATTGCTGAAAGATTACCAAACAAATTAGAGATCAGAGAAATAAATTATTGTTAATTACGGGATTGCTATCAAGTACCTTTGTATTTATCGAGTGTGTTTTCCCGGCAAAAGATATATGGTAGCAATCTTGTAATTAAAAATCATTGTAATATTTATGACCATTAAAGTTTAAAACAACAAATTAGAGGTCACTATTTTTGTGTCTCGTCTATAGGTCGGTACAGTCTATAGTGTATTGAACTTAAAATACCTACAGAAATAATATGCTTTCAAAGAGAGATTTTCAAAACCACGAGCGATGATTTTGAGTTGATCAGACATGCACAAAACTAGAAGGCAACGACCTAAATTAAATACTCAAATCGAGTATTAAATTAATTTCACTTTGGATCTCCTCCGTTTCACTACAAATACTGTGAACGCCCTTAATTAATACTTACTTTTGGAGATTTAACCAGTTTAAGACTTTCAGTTCTCGTATAGCCTCCAGCGGCAATTCCGTAAACTCATTGTGTCCTAAATCTAATGACGCCAATGTGTTTTCCATCGATCTGAGGGAAGAGATGAAAATCAAGTAGAAAAGAATAAGTTTATCATCATCCACACCAGCGTTACCCAACCTATGGTCTGCGGGAATGTGTACAGTCCGCAGAATATGCTCCCGGAATTACAACTCAATACAAACTCAAATATTACAGATTTAGGTGCAAGAAATAAGCACAACCTTTCAGTTTCACATTGACGTGTTGTAATGTAAAAAACTTGAAAATTTTTGGATCATTTTTGTTATACTGATATTATAAAGAGGAAAACATTATCCACGAGTAACATAGGCTATATTTTATTTTGGAAAAAATAGGGTTCCGTAAGATATTTGGGTTTTTCGGACACAAGGTGTAAAAAATCAACCAGAAAAGATACTTATTTTGCGTACGCTGCCTAAACTATAATAGATAGAACCATAAAATGTTCTAATTAATTGTAGATCTTATAAATATCTACAAAAAAGTCCACGACACACTATACATATCTATGTCGAGTCAGGCACAATAGCATATTTTTATTTAAAAAGCTTGTTTTTTTTTGTACTACATTTAAACGCGTTTATTTTACTCATGCTATTAATTTTTATCAAAATAAATTATTTCATCACTAAGTACAGTTTATGTAGATAATATTTGGTCTTAGAATGATTAAAATTGAACGTTTGGTTTTGAAATTATTTCGTAATTAAAATATTACGATTTCTGCTGCAGGGCCCGTTGCGAAATGGACGTCACCAAGGCAGAGGTGCGCGTGCGGGAGGGGAGTTTAGATGAGGAGGGGAGCTATGAGTAAGGTACCAGCGGACCATGCGGGCGAAGCCGCTGGCGGAAAACTAGTATAACATAAAAATGGGTCTTTTCATTATATTTACTAAGAGACCTCTCAATCTAGAGATGATTACACTAGAACAGGTCAGGCAACGCTGCTCAACAGGTCATATAATTCAATAAATAATGTTCTTTTCTTGTCATCGGTGTATCACTCACACGAGTGCTGCGGGCTCCATCCGGTGCAGGCGGCAGGCGACCAGGACGAGTGTCCGCAGGCGGCGCGCGTCCAGCGCCGTCTCCTCGAGCGTCCCCAGGCGCGCCTGGGACACCGCCACGTGCCACACCGTCTCCTCTACACATACGTAACGATCTGCTACTTACCGATACCAACTTAAACGGTGGTACTATGGAAACAATCTTAACTTTGGAATCGGAAGCAACAAAGGCACCCAAACCCTCTTTAAACACGTAAACTTAGTGACCTGTTTCCGGGAACCTATGGAAGGGTACATGGCTGCAGGCGAAGTGGTCATCGCGGCACACGCACAGCGGGTTAGCGGCGCAGGGCCGCGGCCAGTGCTGCGGCGCGGCCACAGCGGGCAGCGCCAGCACCAGCGCCGCCGACGTCAGCACACGCCTCGCCGCTGCACACCAACGACGCATGCGCCCCCGTGCGCTGCTTACAATGTACCACCGCCTTTTGAATTGAAACACGTGGCACCTCGATACACTAGATACTTCTGTACTAAAAATTGACACTATCATAATTGTCGCTAGCTAAAGCAGTGTTTATAGACCCCGATATAACTAGGTTTGCATTTTTATATAACTAAGTAAATATTTCAATAAGAAATTGCTTCGTAACTATTATGTTAAATACTATGTTGAAAATGGTCAGCGGATGGATGGATGGAATAGTTCATCCCCATTTGGAAATATAAATACACACAAAAAAGGCGGTCATATTGCAATTGAACAATATTGCAACTCTCTAAAAGTAATCATAGAGCTCACGGAGGCTAGTTCCAGAAAGCATTGCAATAATAATAATCATAGTACAGAGTACTCCGGCACTTTCGTAAAATCAAATTAAGCCATTTCGCACGGCTGGTGTACATACAGGCGCCAAAACGAACTGATTCTATACTCCTCTTTTGAATGATATTGTTCAAATTAGTTTAAATTATGCATACTCTCACCCGCTGCTGAAATATCCTGATTATCATTTGTTTCTCTCATGTTAATTTCTATTATTTTTTTTGGGCCAGAATACACCGCTGTTAGTAATCTTCCGAGTTTCTGAGATTGTGTGAATTGGCATTTAGCTTAGCGCGCTTATCGTAATTTCCCTTCGTTTCCGTATGTTTCTCGATAGTATCACAATGAATGTTTTACATATAGTTAACTTATTTTTACTTCCAACTACAACAACAACGATTTAAAAGAAATTATTTTGTCTTATAAAGAGTCCATACATTATCCCTTGTCTGTTTTCTATAGTTTTCGGCAGCCCCACTGCGTGACGAAATTGAAATTAAACTTATTCAAAATGCACTCAACGTTCAATTGCATTGTGTTCATTGATATATTAAACATAGAAGTATTACATATGTGATCTAACAATGATGTGGGGAAACCGATGCCTGCACCTTCGTCTGCATAGTATAGTTACTTTGGGTAGTAGTTCTAAAACAAATATTTATTAATTAAGTATATTGTGTAAAATACACGAAATAAAGTTTTATAATTTAATCTTAGACAATCACCAACATCCGTACAAACTTTAATTACTTATTTCAACCATTTTTTCACAATAAAAAGTAACCTTTGTCCTATCTTAAGTCAACTCTGTTCGGTGAGTCAGGTTTGAGAATGTAACTGACATAAACACTACTTTCGCATGTATCATATTAGTATGGAATAATGAATTCTATTGTCGGTAATCTATATTTTTTGGAAATTTCTCCCCGAAGGGGGCCAAAACGTGTGAAAACGTTTGCATGAAACTTTTTTATTTTTAGATCTACATATATCGATGAACATGATATTGGGGTAGTTTAAGACCCTAGGAAGATAGTACTGTACCGGTGCGCCGTACCACCATTTATTTCGCCCTATGTATCCACATGCAAACTTTTTGTCTTTGATCTTCAACATCATTTATTTTTATTATTCACCTTTTCTCTTTATGAATGTCAGTTCGTGAAAAATTCATCCGGCGAGAACATGATAATTTTAATAATATAAATCCAATATATATTATTATTATTATTTAAATAAGAAACATGTAAACGTAAATACCTACCAAGTTCTACATATTACAGAACACCCAGAGACGGACTATGTACGAGTAATTGTTCTATTTAACTATTTTAATTTTATTATTAAGGTAACCATACGAACTGTTTATATATTACTTTTTTGTTTGTAACAGTTTTTTTTCGTTTACCATTAATTGAATCAAGTTCTCAAGCTTAGTCCGCCTTTTATTCATTTGCCTAAGCATCGATCCCGCCACAACTGGCGCCCAACGTGGGGCATAAAATAGACTGACTATACACTTTAAAACTAGACCGGACTTCAAACTGCAATAGAAGACAATAGTGCACACGCAACGACCAACACCTCAGATATATTTACTCGTACAAGTCAGACAACAGACGTACTCAACATAGTGCTATAAAACAAGACGATAGTATTTAATGGTAAATAATTTTTAGATTCCAATTACATATAAGTACGTAAGCCATTTTATGATAAATAATATTATTTTTACCCGTACTAATAATACGTATTAGAGATCTATCTAGAGGGGGCACTGCCAGCCAAATACAAGCAAAACCTAACTTAATACTTTCTATATGCATTGTTTCTATGTCTCTTAGACAATTCCGATTAACGTCAAATTAACGTTATAGTTCATTCAATATCTTTAAAAAAAATGTCGCGATCCCAATTGCGTTCACATGTCAAATAGTTGGAGCGTGAAGTTCGCGAATGTGTTTCAATTTACTTAATAAGAAGATCAGTTATATTGATGGATACTTCTTTTCATTCCCCGGATTTAATTCCATGAATACAGAAATGAAATGGTGATAATTATATTTATTTTAAAATTAACAAATCAGTGTATATTGCATTTATTTACCCAGAGAAAAAGTCTTCATTGTAAATATTTAAGTAAAATAATTAAGTAAAGTGCTCCATTTACCTAAGCTTTTGAAATTACCTCTTTGAAATACGTCAGTAGTATTTTTAATACATACATGGTCTATTTAAGAGAAATAAATTAAAATGCGATTTTAATACAAATGATTAAAACGAAATATGTAGGTACATATAATATAAAAATAATTGATATTAAACTTACTTCCACTATAACGATAAATCCGTTATACACACAATAGTTTCACATAATTCGATAGTAAGAACGCGCCAACTTTTGCGAAACACAAACTAATTGGGATGCATATCGCCGGCCACAGACGTCCGCCGCCGTCGCCGGTTGTCGGCCGACTGGCGACTGGCGAGTGGCGCCGCACGCCGCCGCCAGTGTGGTGCCGTGGTGCGCCCTCCCTCCGTCCGCGGTGCACGTACAGTGTACGTATAGTTAGTTCATGGAGTAGTTATAGACCATTTACACGAAGCCAATAGCAGAGACAATCCGGAAATAATCCTTAAGCCAGTGTGTTGAAAAAGAACGATATCTAGTTGCTATCTCTGAGGTCCAGAGTTCGATTCTCGGTCAAGGCCAATGTATCTGTTAATTTTGGGATAACGTCAATCCATCTAAGTGCCAAACTATTTTAATTGATAGCTCTCAACAGCTACCGAGGCTGCCGATTTGAACGGGATTGCCCCTATGACGTACAACGGCGACCTCATACAAAACTTGGAAATTATAGTAAGCAATAATCTGTTATGGTGTAACCATGGCAATTTTGTCTCGCTCAGGGTGACTAATGCACTTAGACCATTATATAGGCTTAAGTATTTACTGCCAGCTTATAATAGATTATGTAGATATCAGTTATCCTGATATAAATGAAAATCTTCTCAAGTTGGTTAGTAAATTTTCACCGGAGACCGCGCGCTGTACCGGGCCGGTACGTCTAACCACAAGCTGTGCCACGAGTCCCATGTCGTCCGCGAGAAATACTCAGCAAAAAATTTCGAATACAATAATGTAAAACTAAACTTTAATTACTTAATTCTGTCCAACCTGCCTGTAACCAGCCATTAGTAACCACTTTTTGTTCATCAGGTATAGAAACCGCCTGCACTGATACAACATTGCGTAGTCAGGTGCGGAAATCTAAGACATTCGTTTTGATTTCCTTTCTTACATTAAAGACCCTGAAAGTTACACTGCAGCAGGTCTTTTATAATGAATTTGCGATTCTTTTTTGTTATAGGACTCGTTGCACAAACGTCCATTAAGGTTTAATGACGCCTTTAAGGTCCAATGAATGTCAAATTTGTATGGGTAATTTCACTTTAAACTTAATGACAATTTTTATGGACGTTTGTGCAACTGGCTGATAGAATAATACAGTGTTATATTTTTTTAATTTTTATTGTTTGTACTTAACCTAACAACACATTACTTCACTTCTTTTACTTGCAGACCTGTAACAAAGAAAAACAGAATTTAGTACTTCGAAAACTATATCATAATGAAACACCAGTATGCGGCTGATGGTCAATCGGTTTGTACATATTTTAAATCATGCAAAAACATTTATAAAACCAATATTAAGCACGCCTCAAAACATGGGCGTACCCAAGAAGGGGCACCCTAGATTCTAGGGCCTAGAAGATAAAATAAACTCTGCGCAAAATCAAGTGTTGGAAACAAAATATCTTCTCAGTCAGATATTTTAATTTAATATTTTTTTTATCTCAAATTAAATATTCTAACACATTCGATATAGTATACTGTTAGCGATGCAATATAATTTAAATCTACCGCGAAACCGTCGCATCTCGTAGTTTCCGCTCCCGATGAGACAATCAGACCTAACTAGGATTAAAGCCGAATATAATTTTTATAAGTGCTTTGGCGTTAAGTTTTTCTGTAATCTACAAGAACCAATGATATTCGAGATGTAATGAGTTTGGGTAATGGGACTGCCAATAACGAGTCTGCTTTAGCTGATTTGTATATTTTATCAATTTTGCATTAAAAATGCTATACTGTTAAATATTCTTAATGAAAAATGCTATTGCTGATTTGTTTACAAAGTGCTTTTCATCGGTATACAGTAAGTCTCGACCCACAAATTACATACCGGACTTCCCAGGTGCTATTCATTGTCTATCTAACGTTATCTATCTATCTATCTATCTAACGTCTATCT